TGCTAGCTTCTAAGTAAGCAAGTGCAGCAACAACTGCAGTATCAACTCTGAGAATTCTTTTTCCTAGGCTTAGTTTTTGGCAAAATTTGTTAGCAAAGTCAAGTTCATCATCTGAGAAGCCACCCTCGGGGCCAATAATAAGTGCAATAGACCTCTTTTGAAACTCAACTTCTGATGCCAATTTTGTTGTCAAGCTCTCCTCGGGTACATCCTGCAGTGCTGTACTTGCACTTCTCCTCTCACTATAAATAGGCTTCGAAAGAGTTCGATTAAGTTCCTTTAGCATTTTACCGGTCTTATCGCATAAAATAAAATTTTTATCCCAAGAATCTTGTAAGTTACAAAAATTAATAGGAGATAAAACCTCTGGTATATCCATCCTTCCACATTGCTCCGTCGCTTCAATTGCTTGTAATTTTGCTCTTGCGAGGTTAATATCCCTTATTACTGTATGTTTTGTTAAGATAAATTGAATGCAAGTTACTCCCATTTCTGTTGCTTGTCTTATTATGTTACTTAAAGTGGTACTTTTTACAACAGAGCAATACAAGTATAAATTTTCTTCATATTGCTGCTGCTCAATACAATTCTTTATTTTAATTTTTACCGACTTACATTGTACGTCAATAATTTCGCCTAACCATTCACCATCTTTTCCATTAAAAAGAAAAACGTTGTCGTGTTTCTTAAGTCGCATAACATTTTGGATGTAGTGGCTTTGTTGTAGATTTAGTGATAAAATAACGTATTGAAATAAAGTTGCTTTAACATAAAGTCTAACTCTTTTCATTTAATATATTTTATCTTAAGTCAAATAAGTATTAATGTAGCTGCAATAGACAACTTTCGAAACTTATATTTTATTACTAAAGTTGAGCTACGCTCCTTAAATACATCCTGGGGTGCTCGCTTACACTTCTTCTCTTATCATAAAGAGAGTTCGAAAGGGGTCTAATGTTTTTAAAACTATAGTATTCTATACTAAATTATAGACTTCTATAATAGCCTTGCTAATAAAAAAAAGATAGATCTGCGCTACGTGCAAGACCTTTTACTCTACTGCCTAGAAAGCTTATTTTAGCTATAGCAATTTATTTTCCTTAAAACAAGTGGTTATTAAATGTCATAATAATATGATCTATTAACTCTATGTCCGCGCTTTGAAAAGCTTCTGCTAATTGTCTAGTCAAGGTTATGCCACTATTGAAAGATTGTGCATCTCCAATAGGGTGACTATGTGATGTTACAATGGATGTTGAGCCAATTACAAGTGCACGTTTGATGATTTTTCTAACATAAAGCGGGTCTGATCTATCGTACCAGCATTTTATATATCTTCCGCTATTAAGCAATACCTTTTATTCATATAGACTACACGAAAATTTTCCTCATTGCTACGTAATACTTCTAGTTTATCATTAAAACTTTATTTAAACTATCAAGGTAATTCATTAATTTCTTTGCAATAGGCTTTATATCAACTTCGCTATATGTGGAATACAGAATATATTCTAAAACATCATAATTAAGAAGAGATTGTCCACTGTCCAAGATAATTTCTCCTCTTAAGCGCCTTCTGTGTCCTTTTGTATAATCTCTAGTCATGATTAAATCATATATTATACATCTCTATGTAATAATAAAATAAAATTTTAAGCAAAATATTTAGTAAGTGAAGAGCTTGACTTAAGCATCTTATACCTCTACAATTCCTATTTTGGGTTCTATCTACAATGTCTGTGATAATATTAAGTGTACTCCAAATAACATTGGTTGTTGTTTTGGTAACTCTAGTGCTTTTACGGCCACCTGGTAGTAGCTCG